TGATGCAATTGTACTATGGAGTTTTCTTCTTGCAAACAGGACGAAGAAGGAGGGCCCTCTTTCATGTCTCAGTTTACACCTCTGATCCTTAAGCATGCTCTTTGATCTTTGATGAATATCTGTTATCATCATGTTATTTCAAAAGCCATGCCTTTTTTTTATTTTTTTCTCCCTTAATGGCAAGTATTTCGTCTACTTTATTTTCTTTGGATCAAAATAAGCAATAGAAAGGTGGCGGGGAATGTGTTCTTCAGCAGCATACCTCTGCTCTGGCCTTGTCATTTGCAGTTCAAGAATGTTGAAAATAACCCCAATACACCTATTTCAAATGTGGCACAAAATGTCAGGAAAAATATGTGTTACAGAGGCGAATTTTGCTCGCAGAGAGGAAAACACTCCGAAATAATAGAGGGCTTTCTTCGAGATAAATAAAATGCCACCTTTCCCCACCCTGCGGATGCCTGTCATGGGGGCACGGAAAGCAAAGTGTTCGTGAATCACCTTTCGTTCATTCACTTATTTCCCGCAGCGCGTCCCCTAGGATGGCTGGCCGACCCTCGGATGTCACCGCTCTGCCCCTGCCGTGCAGGTGAACTCGGCCCACGCGGGTTCAGTCCCGCGGGGCCGCCCCCACCGGGCCCTGCCCTGCCCCGGGACCTCGGGGGGCGCGGAGAGCCGCGGATCCCTGCGGGCAACTCCGCGCATCCCTGCGGGCACACCGCGCATCCCTGCGGGCACACCGCGCGGCTCCGCGGATCCCTGCGGGCACACCGCGCATCCCTGCGGGCCGGGGGCACAGCGCGGAGCTGACGGGCGGGACGATGAACCCGAGCGGAGCGGGGAGGTGCGGGGGTGAGGGGCGGCCGCAGCAGCTGCGGGGGCTCCAGGCTGCGCTGCGCCAGCGCAGGGAAGCGCTCCGCGCCGGGCAGGGCACGCAGGAACACGCTCGCGGGAGGGAAGGTCTGCGCCCGAGAGCTCAGACGGAGCAGGCTGCAAAGCATTTCCCACAGCCTCCGGAGCTGGGGGTGTGGAAAAGAGCAGCGGCGAGGGCTGCAGTTAAAGGAGCCTGTGCGCTAGAAATCCTCAGTTTAAAACAGAAGAGCGGGGAGGGGGGAAGAGCGATGCTAAATGTGCGTGTCCTTAAGGCGTTTTAGCCGGTGGGGACTGCGCGCTGGTTCACACAGAGCACCTGCAATCAATCACGGAAATAGATACATAGAACGGTTTGGCTCGAAGAGGACCTTAAAGATGACCTAGTTCCAGCCCCCCTGCCTTGGACAGGGGTACCACCCACTACTAGATCATGTTGCTCAGGGCCCCATCCAACCCCGTCTCGAACACTTCCAGGGATAGGAAGGCTGGAATCAATGCTTGTGGTGCCCAGTCCTACAGCAGATTTGTCCAGAGTATTGTTCCGGAGCAATCTCTCTAGCTCCAAGTGCACGGCGAGCTGCAGGTCCCGGTGTGTGAGAAGGTGTTTTCAGTGCCCCTGCCTTAAACCCCGCATCGGGGTTTGGCATCACTCGCACGCTGTTCCGGCGGCGCACAGCTGACTGCGTGGGCACTGCCGCTCTTTGATGCAAACCCACCGAATTTCAGTCAGAAACTTGCAGCGTTATGCTGCTCCGTAAAACCACGGGGGGCGGGGGGGAATTAAAAAAATAATGATAGCGGGTTCGCTAGCTCCGCGTTTTCCCACGTCTGGCAGAAGAGGCTCAGCGCTGCCACCTCGCGTCCCGCGCCGCATCCCCGGCCTCATGGAGCCCGCAGGAAACAGAATGGAGTTTTAAGGCTTTTTAAGTTGTAAAACGCGGAGGAGTCTTGCCAATACTCTTAAAACTTCATTTTTAGGCGGAAACTGAATGCTCGCGCTTTATGCCGAGGCTTAAAAATTTTGGGGAGCTGGAAAGTACTTTCAGTCCGCCGCTGGAGGATTAGGGGTGGAAGCAATTAACTTTGAGGAAACAGCTAAGAAATTGTTGTAAAATGCTTTTATAGAGTTTCACATCATGTTCTTACACTTGCTTTATTACGTAGTTCTAAATTTCACTTTTGTGGAGTTTTTTTTCAGGAAATACTACTCTTCTGTCCATCCCCACTTTTTGAACCAATATTAAATTGATGTGGCTGCTTTGATCAGGAAGACACTTAACCCATCACCTGGAGATGAATTATATTCATGGTGGTCAAGACCTTGCAGAACTTAACACAAACAAGTGAAAAGCTTCTTAAGCCTTTTCTTTCTATGTTTGCCTATCAGTTTGGGGCTTGTTTGTTTTGCTTTAATTTGTGTCTGGAAACATGGGAATATTTTACTTGCTTTGTAGTTTAAACAAATTGATATTTATATGTAAAATACAACAGTTGGGGGCTGAAATCCTGCTGGATACCGTGCTGACAGGTGGAGCAGCCAGAAGCTACTGACTGCTCCCAGTCCCAGTTTTTCACGCTGCTGCACATGAATACCAAGAGTGTAAGCAAAAGCCAGTGCTTACTCCTAACACCAAATCCACGGTGAGCCTCCATTTCTCTAGATGGTAGGGGTATAGGGTAGAAGAGACTTGATTGTAGCTTTGGGGCTGCAGGGGAAAAATACACCGTGATTTACTACTTACAAAGTGTAAAGGTGAGAAACTCCACTGATGTCACTGGATGTCGTCAACCTAGAGGAAAGCAGTATTTTATCCAGAGGCTGTATGAGGAACCAATGTATTATTTTTGCAAGCAAAGCTATAATTTAATTTGTATCTTTGTAAGCAGTCTCAGTAATGTAGGTGGCCTACCCAGGGAGTTACTGAGAATTCGGGATTTTTCTCAGCATTTCACAGCCGTGTTCTTTAAGTCCAGTGTGAGATCTTAATATCCAAAGCCTGTTCTCAATCCAGCTAGAAACTCTGCTAAAGGATCTTACAATAAATTTTCTTGCAAACATATGCAATTTATTTTAGACCTCTATCTTAAATATTTTAGCTGTATCCAACCACTATTTTGCTTCTGATTTAAAAGGTGGTGTGTAGAACAAAAATTTTCACAGCTGTTTTGCCTAATAGTTTTTCTGGTCCCTGGCTTGATAAGTGATGTGAGGAATCATTGGGAAGTAACACTGACACTGTTTTTATGGTCTTACTGCCCCCTTTACCTGAATACTGGAGGGGGGGCTGATGCCACGAGGCCTGCAGGGGTGCTGCACAGCGCCTGACCTCGCTGCCCTGATTTTCTTCATTACTGATGGTGGCAGGACAGAGGGAGGGGCAATGACACCAAACAGCGGTACCCGAAAGCACCTTAGAGCCAGGGAAGAGCCCCGGAGAGCAGGGGGCCCTGCTCGGCGGGGCGGACCGGCAGGGGCACGGCAGCAGCTCCCCGCCAGGGCCGGTACCTGCCTGCGGGCTGCGCGCCGCTCCTTCCTCCCTCCCTCCCACGGCTCCTCCCGCTCTCCGGGGACCCGGAGGGGCCGGGCCGGGACCCCCAGCCGCAGCGTTTCCCGGGATCGGGCGCCTCGGTGGCACCGCGGCATGCAGCGAAACGCAGGAGGGGAGTCGGAGGGTAAAACCGCGATAAGGGCAGCGCCTCTTCCTCGCTGCGCGCCGGGGAATTCGGGACGGGCGGCAGGGTTACTCAGCGCCGTGCCCGGTGCCCGCCGCCGGTCCCGTCCCACCCCTGCGCGCTCCGCTCCAGCTCCGTGCGGAGGGGGCGTGACGGCCGCGCCTGGCGGGCGCTTCTCCAGGGCCGGCGACCCCTCCGTGACACTGCGCGTGTGGGCGTGGGGACGGGCGCGGGGCGCCCTGCGGCATTCCCCGGACAGCGCTGCCCGCTGGGCGTGCGGCGGCTGCGGGGCGGCGGGAGCGGCCTCCCGGCCCTTTGTGCGGGCAGGTGTCCCCGCTCGCCGCCCCGCGCGCGGGGGCGGGACGCCTTCATTCCCCGCTCTCCCTTTCTTTCTCTCTTCTTTTTTTTTAATTATTTGTATTATGATGATTTTTGCTGATTTCCTGATTTTTCCCCCCCGGCGGGGGGGGGGGGGGGGAGGAGCGGGGCCGGGGGGCGGGGGCCGGGGGGCCGCGGGCACGTGCGCGGCGAGGCGCGGGGCGGCGCGCGGCGCTGCCCTCCTGCCCCTTTTAAAAAGTTCGCCCCGCCGCCGGGAATGAGGTCAGCGCGGGCGCTTCCCATTGCACGCGGCCATTATTACCGCTCCGCGCCGGCCGCCAATCCCGGGGCGGCGGGCGGGGCTTGGCACGCGGAGGGCGTTGGATACAGCGCGCCATTGGCCGCGGGGCGGGCTGCGAAAGGATAAAGCGGCGCGGGGCGGGCGCGGGGTCCGCTCTCAGCTGCGGCCGGCGGAGCGCGGCGTGCGGGGGGCGCGGGGCAGCGCCCGGCGGGCGAGCGCGGGGGGCGGCGGCGGCTCCGCGGGGCTCCGCGCGCGCGGAGCAGCAGCAGCAGCGGCACCGCCGTCGGCGGAGGACAAAGGAGGAGAACGGAGCTGGGCGCCCGGCTCGCCGCTCTTCCTGCCGGGGACGTACACACTCGTTCATGCACGAGCGCTTTTTTATTTTTCTTTTTTTACGGCGATTTTTTCAATTATTATTATTTTTGCCTTCTTGTTTCTTTTTTATTTTTTATTTTTTTTCTCCATTTTTTTGCCTTATCCCGAGGGGTTTCCTTGTCGCTCGGTACCTCGCAACTGCCAAATCCAACCTGCACAAACTCCTGGCCACCGACCCCGCCGCCACCACGGGTCCTGGAGCCGGGATTTTCGGGGCTTCGGGGGCGCGCCGCCTCCCCCCTCCCCCGCGGCGGTGCACGCTGGCCGTGCCCAGCGCTGAGAGACTTTCGGCGGCAGGAGTGCCGCTCTCCTGAAACGCCGCGGGCAGGCGGAACGCGCTTGTGAACTGGACCAGCTGCTTCGGGGAGGGGGGAAACCCGATGTGGTGAGGAAAAAAAGCAGACCGACACCCCCCTCCAAAAAAAAAAAACAACCCAAAAAAGCCCAACACCCCAAGAAAAAAAAAAAAGCAAACTTGGACGGGCGGCTCGGGGCGCTGCTTTTGCAGAAACTCTTGTCTGACCGCGGGCGGCCTCGCCGCTCCTGCTGCTCCTGCTGCTGCCGCCGCCGCTGCCTCGAGGGGGAGAGGACCGCGCCGCCGGGGACGAGGCGCCGGTGTGGAAGTACAAGTGGTGCGGGGAGCGGGGGCGCGGCCGCGGGGGGCTGCGCCGTCCCGGTGCCGTTGTGAGAAGTTGCGCGCCCTGCCCCGCGCCGGAGCGGCGCTGAGCTCCGGAGCGGCGCTGAGCCCCGGCGAGCCCCCCGCCGCCGCCGCCGCGATGGTGCAGCAGACCAACACGGCGGAGAACACGGAGGCGCTGCTGGCCGCCGAGACCTCCGACTCCGGGGCCGGCATCGAGCTGGGCATCGCCTCCTCCCCCACGCCGGGTTCCACCGCCTCCACGGGGGGCAAGGCGGATGACCCGAGCTGGTGCAAGACACCCAGCGGGCACATAAAGCGGCCCATGAACGCCTTCATGGTATGGTCACAGATCGAGCGGCGAAAGATCATGGAGCAGTCCCCCGACATGCACAACGCCGAGATCTCCAAGCGCCTGGGCAAGCGCTGGAAGCTGCTCAAGGACAGCGACAAGATCCCCTTCATCCGGGAGGCGGAGCGGCTGCGCCTCAAGCACATGGCGGACTATCCTGACTACAAGTACCGGCCCAGGAAGAAGGTGAAGTCGGGCAACAGCTCCGCCAAGCCCGGCGACAAGGCGGACAAGGGCGGCGGGGGCGGCGCCGGCGGGGGCAGCGCGGGCGGCGGCTCCGGCGGCCCCGCGGCCCCCGCCAAGCCCGCCCCGAAGAAGGGCGGCGGCGGCGGCTCCAAGCCCTCCCCCGCGGGCGGCGGCGGCGCGGGCGGCAAGCCCCACGGCAAGGCGGCGGGGGGCAAGGCCGCCCCGTTCCCCGGGGAGCCCTCGGCCGCGCTGCTGCCGCCCGAGCACCAGGCGCTCTACAAGCCCCGGGGGGCGGCGGGCGCGCCCTCGGGACCCGGCAAGCCGCTCGCCGAGAAGAAGCTGAAGCGGGTCTACATCTTCGGGAGCGGGCAGGCGGCGGCCGCCTCCGCCTCCCCCGGCGGCGCCGTGCCCGGCAGCCCCACGCTGAGCAGCTCGGCGGAGGCCGGCGACCCCTTGAGCCTCTACGAGGAGGGGGGCGGCGGCGCGGGCCGGCCCGACGGGGACTGCGGCGGCGTCGCCTGCCCCTCTCCCTCCGGCTCCGGCTCGCCCTCGGATCACCGCAGCTACACCAGCTTGCGCGCCTCCTCCCCGGCCCCCTCGACGGCGAATTCCTCCTCCGCGTCCTCCCACTCCTCCTCCTCTTCCTCCTCCGGCTCCTCTTCGTCGGACGACGAGTTTGAGGACGACCTCTTGGACCTGAACCCCAGCCCCGGCTTTGAGAGCATGTCCCTGGGCAGCTTCAGCTCCTCGGTGCTCGACCGGGACCTGGATTTTAACTTCGAGCCCGGCTCGGGCTCGCACTTTGAGTTCCCTGACTATTGCACGCCGGAGGTAAGTGAGATGATCTCGGGGGACTGGCTGGAGTCCAGCATTTCCAACCTGGTCTTCACTTACTGAGGCGAGAGCCGGGCCCTGCTGGAGGAGGCACCGGCGCGCGTGGCTGTCGGCAGGACTCGCCCACCCCGCCGGGCGCTTTTGTGTCTTTTTCTGTTTTGTTTGGTGTTTGTGTTTTGGGGGGGTTTTTTTGAGGGGGGGGGGGGAAGTGTTTTGTTTGTTTCTGGGAAGGGGCTGTTGAAAGACTGCTTCTTGAGCTTGGGGAAGGAGCGGGATCGCCCTCTCCTTGCGGAAAGGCCAGCAGTCCCTTCCTCCGGCTGCAGACGGACCCGCACACGCCCCCTCCGAGAGAGGAGCCTGACGGTGCTTTTTGAGAGACTGGCGGGAGCGAGACGCTGTCCTTTTCCCTTTTTTTATTTCCTGAAAAGAGAGACAGAGAAAGGGGGAGGGAGGGGAAACCACACACACCTCTGGGTTCTTTGTTATTGCCCATTTTATACGAATAAAGAGGAGGGGGAGCGATGCGTGGTGCTGAGCGCGCACTGGATGTCTTGAGCATTCGCCCTTTCCAATGAAAGAGCGATCAGAACTGCTTGGGGAAAAAAAAAAAAGAACAGAAAATCCACCCAAATCCTTTGCAAGGTTCACGTTTGTGGGGAGGAATCCTGTCCCGGTTTCTTCTGCGGTGAGAAGAGGCAACAATGCTGGGAGAAGGAGGAGGAGGAGGTGGATGGAGCTGGACTGAGATCCTAGTTAAGCGGAGAAGAGCCAGACTTACACTTGAGAGCTGTCTTGGAAATACGGTGGGGGTAAATAATAATAAACTGAAATGGATTTGCACGTACAGATAAGGTGGCGGCAGCGCTTTTCTCAGTCACCTCATGTAACATGTAGAGAGAAAAATAAGGCTGAAACTTCAAGAACACTGAAAACTTCTTTTGAAACAGAGACCGAATCGGAACAGTTTCTGTCATGATGTGGTACAGGGGAATGGCTTTTGCAAAAAAAAAAAAAGAAAAAAAACCAAACCTGAAAATACAAAAAAAAGTAGTTTTTTTCTTCTTACTCAGAATCGTGATGGTGTTGGATTATTTCACTGGTGGGGTTTAATATAGCATGTTATACTGTCTATCTTTTCAAGATTTCTGTAAGACTGTTGAACAGTTTGAAAAAAACAAAACTAGTGTTAGGATAATATCGAAGCAGATAGATGGCGCTATGTTTGATTCCTACAAAAATATCACCAGCTTTTTTTCATTCTTAACTCTTTAAAGGATTCAAACGCAACTCAAATCTGTGCTGGACTTTAAAAAATGAAAATTCAGGACCAAATTTTTTCTCAGAGTATGTATGTGTTTGTTCCTTATAGCTGTAAATGAAAAGACTGTTTTTTCTCACCGATGCTCCATCCTCGTATTGTTTGGTTTTTTTTTTCCTTGTAAATGTAATCGGATGCCATTTTATAAGTGGACGTATTTATACTGGCCAAACATTTTTGACTTTGTATTTCTTTGTCCTTTTTTGGTAGTTCTCGTTGTTACCCGCACCATTTTTATGTCTCCTTCACTGAAGGGCTAGAGTTTTAACTTTTAATTTTTTATATTTAAATGTAGACTTTTGACACTTTTAAAAACAAAAAGAGAAGAGAGATGAAAACGTTTGATTATTTTCTCAGTGTATTTTTGTAAAAAATATATAAAGGGGGTGTAAATCGGTGTAAATCGCTGTTTGGATTTCCTGATTTTAACAACAGGGCCGCTGGTTAGTCTCTCACACGCGTGTGCGCGCTCACGCTCACTCACACTCTCACACACCCACGAATCAGCCCCTATTTTGTCCATGTTTACACTCCAATCTGCAGGCATCTTAAAGTGACAGCATCCCTCGCCGCCCCCGCCGCTGCCGCTCCGCAGCCCCCGCTCTCGGCGGAGGGGCGGCCGGGGCCCGCGGGAAGGGATTGGCACTGGGCGCTACCGTCTGGGAGCCGCCTGGCCCCGCATGAATGAGGCGACTGGTGCATTCACACAGAAGGGATCCTGTACCTTTAACTTGTAAACCACATCTTTTGCACTTTTTTTCTAAGCAAAAACGTGCCGTTTAAACCACTGGATCTATCGAAATGCCGGTTTGAGTTCGCGACACTATGTACTGCGTTTTTCATTCTTGTATTTGACTATTTAATCCTTTCTATTTGTCGCTAAATATAATTGTTTTAGTCTCTTATGGCATGATGATAGCATATGTATTCAGGTTTATAGCTGTTGTGTTTAAGATGAAGAAAGTGAAAACATCTTTGTACATTTAAGTCTGTATTATAATAAGCAAAAAAGAAGATTGTGTGTTTATGTATGTTAATATAACATGACAGGCACTAGGACGTCTGCCTAATGAGGTGGTTCCGTTAAGGGTTTAACTTTTTTGTTCTTTTTTTTTTGTTCTTTTTTTGGTCATCCATCCTGTGCAATATGCTGTGTAGATTTTTTTTATTTTTTTTTACGGTCACCCACAGCACAACGTGGGGAAAGGAAAAAAAAAAAGAAAAAAAATCATGCCAGCTAACCATGTCAAGTTCACTGCCTGTCAGATTGTTGATATACCTTCTGTAAATAACCTCTCTTTTGTTTTGTTTTGTTTTTATTTTCCTTTTTTTTTTTTTTTTCTTCGGGAAGGAAATAAAATCAGCTGGAACTGAACCCTAACTCTAGGCTGCCCTTGTCGTCATTGCTACGCCCCCAGCCCCCTCGGGGCAGGTGTGTTTTGGCTCTCGGGAGGGGCCGGCGAGGGAGGGAGGGAGGGGCGGCCGCGCTGCCGAACCGCCCACCCGGCACCGGGACACGGCCGGGGAGCGGCGCCGGTACCGCTGGGGCTGCGGGGGGTCCCGATTTCCCGGCGCCTCGCCCTGGGAAATAAGATTATTTTCCCTTTAAAGAGATTCTCCCTCCCCTCATGTTTTCCCTTCTGCCCTGTCGGTCCGGGTGAGACCAAGTGAGCGGCAGTGGGGCCCCGCCGCCCACCCCCCATCCAAAATAGTTTCTCCGGGCACTTTAATGAAGATTTCCTAAGGCAAAGCGTAAGCAGAACCCGGCCGTCAGCTGTAGGGAGGCTGGGGGCTCGTAGGGAGGTCCTTGTCCCCTCCTCCCCGCCAGACGGGGCCCAGGCCGGTGACCCCGCTGGGTTTCGACGTGCCGGGTGCCTGCATTCCCTTCCTGCCTACGAATATGCATCGTACCTCGAGCAGTGTTTTGTAAACCGATTAACGCATCCCACTGACATAATGGTTTCACTTAGCTGTTAATTTACAGCTGGCTTTGAGCCACGAACTCTTTTTTCCATGAAAAAGGAGCAGCAAGCTAAGAGAGCTGTGGTAGCGGCTGTTTCGCAAAGCCACCGGCGCAGGAGGTTAATGTTTGCTCTGCCTTACCCCCGTGAATTCCTGGGTTGTATTTGCCTTGCAAAAAGCCCCATCAGCAGCTCCACTGCCTGGGAGCTTTCCCGGTTAGCCCCCTTTGCATACAACACCTTTCCTCTCCGGGGTCATTTGCAGATCCCGTGTCTGTGTCGGTGGCTGGCCTGTCCCCCGAGCATCCCCGCCCGGCCCGGGGCGGATGGGCAGCCCAGCGCAGGGTGCGCCCAGCCCCGCCCGGCCGCGGCCCCTCGCTGTGTCCGGGCCCTGTGGTTGGTTATTAACTTCCTCTCGGCTCTGGGCACTGATTGAAATCGGCGGAGAAAAGGGCCAGGCGTGGTGATGCGACAGGCGACAGCATCCGGCTGCATCCACTGGCGAGCAGCAGGCCTGGGACTGCATCCCTCCCTTTGCGTGGCTCCGGCTCCCGCTGCCCCTCCAGGCCCCCGGGCCGTTGGGTACAGTTAACTTGAGGGGTTTTATGGTTTCCTGCCCGTGTGGTTTGTGCTCTCCACTATAATAAAGTCCAGTGTTAGCAAACGGATTGTTTCTCTGGGGACACTTTGGTGGCAGAAGTTGTTGTTTCCAGATAGCTTCAGGAAGTCAGGCTTCGCAACAGTTACATATGTGCATATGTACATAAATAGCAAATATTTCTCTGTTCCTTGCTGCTTGCAATAAGACAAGGCTCTCACTACAGGAAGTACCCAGAACAAAGCCTCACAAGGTTGTATCACCAAAGATACTCCCCCTCCCCCTTTTTTTCTTTTTTTTTTCCCTTAATAGACCATAATTCCAGTGTAATTGCTTTGGAAAGAAAAGTAGTAGCCCTTTAGCAAGGGTGAAAGAAAGCAAATTTACTGAAAGGATTTTATAATGATCACTGTAAAAGAAAAGTAGATTTTAGGAATCGCAACTGGTGTCTGACTGTAGGATTGCCTAACACTGGATCATCTCTTGGATGTGGGCCCCAGTGGTGGATGCCTGTGAAGAGGTGTATTTCCATGGCTTTGTGGAATCTCCAACTCGAGATTGCTGTAGCTGTCATTCTCTCCTGCTGCCCTGCCACCATTGCCAGAGCCTCTGCCAAAGCTGCTCTGAGAGGCCCCAGCCTTGCTCCTGGCAGGTGTAGCCACACTTCAGCACACAGGGCAAAGAAAGGTTGCTCCTTACCTGCTGTGCCTTCACCCCAGTAGTCAGCATTTAGGGATTTCTACAGCCACACACGGTCATTGTCACCAGTGAATCCCACACCACTAATTATTAATTCTGTCCTCCATGGCATTCCCTTCCTGCCTGTGGCCTCTGCAACTTCTTGTGGTAATGCTGAGGGAATTCATCCATGTGCTGAGTGAAAAAATGAAGTTACTATTTCCGTTTTAACTTCAGCGTAGACAATTTGGTTTATTCTTGTACTTGACAATTTTGTCTCTTCATCTTTGCTAGGACACTGATTTTTCTAACTCTGCTGTTTCTCCACCAGTTTATCTCATAGTGCAGAGAGAGATATAGAAAAGAATTGAAGTAGAAGATTTAAATGAAAAAAATCAGCATAATAGGCTGCATATGTCTGTCGCTAAAATTTATTTTTAATAGATCATGCTTCTTTGTTAATCATTAATTTACCTGCAAATTAGATGAAGACTGTTCACCTCAAAGTGTATATATAATTTTCAGTAATCAGATCTGCTTCCCCTGTGTATAATTTCATTTCCTTCCCATCCTTGTGAAGCAGTGTGTGATGTGATTGCATACACAGACAGTATTGTATTTTCTTTCTTTT